AAAAAAAAAGGCACAGACGGGTCGGGTTTGCGGGGTAAAATGACGGATCACCCGCCACCTGACCCGAACCGAACCCAAGAAACTTGAAATATTGGGCCCGCACCCGTCCACCACACACCACGCATCCATTCATTTGAGGTCGGGTCGGGTCGGGTCGGGCGGTTCTGGCGGGTCGACAGATCCGCTGCACAGCCCTACTGCCAACCACCACCGCCTTCTCAATCTTCTCCGCCGCGTTGCTCAGCCCCTCTCTCTTCCTCATTTGTCGCAGACCACCGCTTCTATCTGCCTCCTTCGTCGTAGACCACCACCTCGCTCTTTCCTCCGCTGCTTTCTCTCTCTCTTCACCTTCGTCACCGTAATGCCGCCAACTAACCACCATCTCCGCCGTCCCTTTCGTCTTCCTCTCTCATTCTGGATCTATCGCCATGCTTCCTCGCCGTCGAGCCATCGCAGAAGATTTGTAAATCAACCTCAGACCCATAGATCTGCATGTTTATCGTCTTCTTTGTTGTCGTAGCAAGTAGCGATGACACTGAGTGGTTCGTTGAAGAGGATGTTGAGAAAGAAATCATCAATTTCCACCGAATTCTCTGCAGCCAAAATTTAATTTTTGTACTTCAAATGGTGTTGTCAGTGCCACTATATCAAAAGTTCTGGTTCAATGTATCAAATACATTTTGTGCACTACTTTTTAATTAAATTATAGACATGCAAATCATAGAAAATTTGTGAAGAAACTCAGATGGTGGCCAAAGAAAATCACCCAGGGGTGAGTATGTGATTTGGTCAAAGAAATTTGAGAATTTCGCTGATTTGGAGAGAATTTCTTTGTGAAGTCACCAGAAAAATTCTCTGTGAACTAGAATTCTCTGTGAAGTTCAGTGAAAATTCAACCAGAGTGAATTTTTCTGAATTGAATTTTCTCTGGTTTGGACCAGAGAATTTCTCTAGATTAAATTGAATTTTCTCTAGTTTTGGACCAAAGAATTTCACTGGATTGAATTTTCTTTGGATCGAATTTTCTCTGAATTGATATTGAGGGACCTTAGACATTATAAAAATATTGAGTGTCCTTTATGCTATAAAATCATAATACCAGGGACCTTAAAAAAAAAACCACTTGGTTTAATTCAACTATCCAATAAAATCAAAAACATTATCAATTTTTTTTCAATTTTAATACTGATAACATTATCATTTTTTTCATTTTAATTTTTTTTTTTTAGTTTTGCACATCAATGTTCCATCATCATACTCCTTTATAGATACAAGATTTTTAGTTTTACACAAAAAAATAATTTAATTTTTTTAAATTTTTTCATTTGCATATAATTTTTTTTAAAAAGATTTTTCAATTTGAGAGTTCATATTTTAAAATTTTGAAAATCAAAATAAATGTCAAATCACGATGTTCCTTTATAGACAATCATAAATGATGAACAATCATGATTTGAAGAGTAATTCTGACTATTAAAAATTTAATGGGACTTACAAATCCGAAAAATCTTAATTATGACTTAATGGAGTATAAATTCATAAATTAGAACTTGTATGTAAATGCCCTAAAAAAATACTGTCAAAGACAAAAAAATATGAAAGTCAAAAAATTCAAAACAAGAATTAAAAAAATAAACCAAACCAAACACTATAAATTTATCTTTTTTTAAATATTTCTTCACTGATCTTTAATTTTACACAAATTAAAAACCTGCTTATTGTTTATTATTTAAGATAATATTGTGATCTCAACAATCTAACTATAAATTAATATTTATATTTATAAAATTTCTTATTTATCATTTAAAATTTTCAGTCGAGTATGTATTCATTTATTACTTAGTTATATTTTAAATATGGATCAATTTAATCATACAAGTCTATATACTTTGTATATATATCACATATCAATTTAAGAGACATGCATAATTAAGTATTAATAATTAACAAAAAAATCATGTATCACATACAATATATGTGCCCAACCACTAATATATATATATATATATAAGGCCATACATATATGTGGGGGTATTTAAAAAAATTCAGGGGCAATGGCTTTGGATTAGATTTTTAGAAACCCAGACATACGAACAAATTCACTTACAAGTTACAATTCTTTGCCTTCAATATTTAATTATCTTTTCTTTAAATCTTGACTTCATTAGAGATATATTTCACTCTTGATTTCATTATAGATAATTCACAACAACAACAACAACAACAACAACAAAACATTTAAAACCTCTTTTTTTTTTCCAAGGAACTGTCTGCACTTGTGTCTTGTACTATTTTAAAATTTTTTTAATATATAAATATAGAGAGAATTACCTATGAGTAGGATAAAAAAAAAAAAAATCATAAAAGAAGAAAAGAAAACTTACTTCACACAAGTCGAGAGAGAGTAGAATATCTTTCTAGGTGATTTTTGGTAGTACTCTGGCGATACTTCGGTGACTCACTTTACACTTTTAAAATGTAAATTTACATTTCTAAAGTATAAATCTACAATTTTCAAGTGTAGATTTGGATTTTTTATGTCCGAAATAAAGATTTTGAGAGTTTTCTCCACCGATTTCGACATAAGTTTTTAAATTTTCGACACTGACAATAATTCCCTTCTCTCTTAAGCTTTCTTCCATACTCTTGTGAGTGTCCTTTCCCAACCTTAGCTTCTGGCAGTGTTCGATGTTTGGCGACTGCGGTGGCAGAATTGGATAGCAGCAACGGGAATGACAGGCTCTCAAACAGATCTTACTTTTCAAACCACATCTTTGAGAATATCAGTTGTTTTCCCTAATTTGTAACTATGTTTTTGATGGATTTGTTTCTGTTTTTATTTTTGTTGTTTGATTGGGATGGCCATTTGAGATATTATTGTTGTTTATTAATATAATGTTTTTCATGTTCTCCAAATAAAAAAAAAAAAAAAGCCTTTTACAAAAAAGTGAAAGTTTATTATTTTAATTATTACTATTTATGCTCATCCCGTCTCAAAATATTGGTCTTTATTCCATTTTTCGTCGTTCCAAAATATTAGTCCATTTTCAAAAATTAAGGAATAGAATAATATTAATTTACTATTTTGCTTTTCTTTTAAATCATTAACAACACAAAAAAATACAATTACAACAATTAATATTCCCAAAAAATTTACTATCAAAAGGTAATTTTGAAATATTAATATTTTAAAATATAGTAATTGTACTATCAAAAAAAAGTTAAATTCCCAAAATGGACCATTATTTTGAGATGGAGGGAGCAATGTCTATCATCTTTTTGTAAATATTTTTTCTAATTCTCACAGATGTATAATTCTCCCATAAATATATAAGCATGTATTGAAAATGAGTATCCAATTTAATATCATAAAGACAGAAGACACCAGGTTTCACGAAACATTAGAATGCCTCCTTCCCATTTTATTGATAAATAATAAAATAATAAATCATTTGTGTTCATGTACATTTGAATACATAATAATGTAATGAATGAATAAAATTTCTTACAGCTGCTTTCTTTAGCCATCGATTTTGGTAGAGTGGTCATCATTAAGAGCCTTGATCGGTTTTCAACCTGCAACCAAGGAAATCATAGCTGCAATTCTAATGGTCTCAAAAAATATATATATATATATATATTTAAATATGAATTTGGTGCAAGGCACATTGTAGCTTTACCTAATACACCATGCATTCTTGGCCATGATCCGACACTAGGGTTGATGAGCATCTAAACAATAAAATGATCGATCATATGTTGTATGACATCTGCACCTTCCGAATGCATGTAATGATCTTTGACCTGTCAGATATCGTCAAAAGAGCAATCAGCTTCATCTCTTAGGAAAATAAAAATAATGGTGATCCAAAAACCTCCACACATTCTTTGTACATTCTCTGTGTTCTCGAGTGCATACTCGATCTCTTTTTTCCTTGTAAACAAACAAATATTTCAAACCTTCTTTTCTACCCATATTTCAAACAATCTAATCATATGCACCTTGTTTCCTGTAAGTTTTATATTATGAATATCCAGGTAATCTCTAAATTCTTTTCTTCCTTTTTTCCCCCCCTCTATGAAAGCAAGAGAAGGAAAGTGTTATTCTACATTCTGCCTTATTCCACGAGATCTAGAAGTGTATGTACACCCTTATTTCATCATATTAGCTAGATGGATGTCCTCTCCAACTACCCTGAAAGGCTTTTCTCCTTCACGCGCTTGTGCACATTCACAGAGAGAGAGAGAGAGAGAGAGAGAGAGAGAGAAACCTGAATCACACTATGAGCAGCAAACCTCATTCGGCTACTATGAAAACTGACGTCTACTTTTTCCCATGACACACGTGATAGGCCGGTCACAAGTTCCTCTGAATAACATGGTCCAAAAGAAAATTTTAGTTAAAAAGCATTAAAAATACCAAGTACAAGCAGAAACAAAACCAAGAAAAATCTTAAAGAATGCAATGGCACTATCAAGTAGCCAAAAATAGACCTAAGACAACCACACACACACACACACAAAAAATATGGTTCAAATACAAGTTACTGAAGATACCAACCTTCTAGCTCGTCTAAAAAATCATCTTCCAGTATAATGGGTTCACACTGCTCAGTATCACATGCTTTACAGTGTTCTTCGTATACAATATGTGGATATTTTTCATTCAAAGAATCCTCCCACTGAAGAACATTATAATGTTTGGTCATTGAACTGCAACCAGAATTCGTGTGATCACAAAATGCAAGCTAAGTAAAGATGATACCTTAGGAAGTTCATTATTTCGTCTAATTGATGATGTTCTCCAACCCACTATATCTAAATCGTATTTTATAAAGGAAAACAAGTAATTAAATTATGTTACCCAGAACATGGAACGTTTCGGTACGTGGAACGAGAACATGGCACACCATATGCTCTAATAGGAGTAGACTTGTACAGATTACATTACACTGAGAATTTAAGAAACTTTTAGAGTAATTTTCTTTTAATAATTAAATATTCAATAAAATGTAGGCCCCCCCCCCAACCCAAAAAAAAAAAACAAAAAAAAAAAAAATAAATAAATAAAAAATAATCATGTAGCAACACATTTCTATGAGCATTATGGCCATTTTTTTATGTTTTGTTCCATCACAATTTCACTCACTTTAGATTTTACTCCATTATATATGAATTTCTTTTTATTCTGAGGAAAGCTTCAGGAAATATATTGGAATCGCTTTGGATCTCTAAATTTACTGTTTTAGAACAAAAGTACATGCATTCCAAAATGTAATTCGCTAGGATATTGGCGTTTTATGATAACACTATTTTTTAAATCTGCATAAAATTAACAGCTGAATTTACGGTTTAACAGGATACGGTCGTAGCCAACATTTGCATATGCAACTCGGCGTTTGAATGAACGCAAAGCAGACCTGTATCAATGTGTTGGTAGCCATATTAACAATTACATATTAGAAGGCTTACTAAAAAGAAACCCACAATCTGAAAGAGCAATTTACTTAAGAAATGGGCTTAAGCAATATACATGAAGTAACATTCACCATAATCTTCCACCATGCGTCGGAGCAATGGAGGCTTTCCATCATCATCATCCTCGTTAAGAAAAAGGTGCTGGCCCGTTCTCCTAAATATCAAATGAACAATGCGACCAGCAACTTTCTCCAAGGAAAGTACACCAAAAAGAAAGGGTACCTGCAAATGGAAAGCAAATTAACCAAGGATCAATCATAATGCAACTGAATCCAATATGAGGAAACCTATAAATAAGCATGATACATACCAAAGAGAAATGAGTTCTATCGATTTACAGACTGCTAATGAGAGTGTTTCTAGTCTTCTAGGAATGAAATAGAGACACTGTTCGCAGGTATATGTATTCAGCAAATAGACATATATTCACATAAACATAACCAGTGTCCGGGAAGACATGATATGCATGCACTTGCAACTACCTTGAATCAAAGTCACGTTTTGCAACCCTAGTCCCAACTCCCAACTTTGTGCTCAAAGCAAGGGAACCATTAGATACAACATTTCATGAATTTTTAACATGCATACATGGTGACCAACTAACCTCCCCAAATAAAAAAAACAACGTCCAATTAGTACACATTATTGTGTGTTTGGGAGAGGAAAGATTGAGTACACGCCTAACCTTTGGCATAATGCACAAAGTGGTAGTCCCTAAACTTGAAACAAAAAGGCAATACTGTCACATTCTTTTAACATACTTCTCACAATTGATACCAAAAAAAAAAGCTATGCAACTACTCTAGCAAATCCAAAGGAAAAGAAAATGAAAATAAAATATTTCAAGCAACACTAGGGCACTAAGTTTTTTGAGAAGGGGATAATATATATGTATGTATATATAACTGCTTGAGTGAATAAAAGCAAATACATAGTAGAGAAGAAAGATTCATATAGTCAATCCCATTTGATGGAACTTAAGGCTTGGTTGGGTTTGGTTTATAAAAACATAATTATAAAAATTTTCAGGCTGTTAAGGAAGTAGTTTATTTTTTTGGTTGGGAGAATTTTCTACTTTCGTTTTTCTTTTCCTGTGGGGAGGACTATTCTAGAACAAGTGCATAACTGATGAATAGAAGCTTTAGATAGAAAGTCAAACCACAAAACTTTTAAATTTTTAATAAGTAAAGCAAAATCACAAAACTCATCAGGCAGTGATCAATGAACTGTAAATGGAAAAAACATATATTGTGAACTTAAATATTACCTATAATCCAAAATTCCTGACATAACTTTTTGAAGGCTTCTATGACTCAACTAGAAGAAATTTTTGCTCTGACTCAACGAGCCAATCAGTAGATTTAGGATGAGTCTATTCAATTTAAAGTTAGATCCTTGTGCACTAGATATGAACTTTTAAGCAAGATGAATTAAGTTCATAATTTTAATCATCAGATATGTGTTGTATTTAATACAACTCTTCGAAAATGTTATAAAAAGGCTTTAAGTTTCTTACAATTATCATTTTTAGCTTCCAAACATGCTAACCATGATTATGGGTTATACACAAAGCAAACCAATAGCTTCTTTAAACATGAACTTCTCCTAATCATAATAACTATGCTAACTAATCTTGATATCAGACAATTTCATTACTTCCAACCAAGTGAGAAAAAAATTGTAACTGAATGAAACCGGGTGACACGTTTTCCACATCTAAAGAAAACATTCTCACCTCCCATCAGAAAAACAGGCCCTGGTGGTGCATATCGCAGCCCTAAAGATAAAATAACCGCCTCATATATCTAGGGAAGTGATGGGGAACAACAAGGAATTTGTTGAAAACAATGCAATATAAGAATTTGTTCGTTTAGGAAGTTGAATTTGTTTAGGTTTTTTTAAAGTTTATTTTCCTTATTTTTTTAACAAGTATATGTTATATGTTATATGTTTCCTTATTGGATTTTATTAGTTTGGTTTGCCTATATATATGGCCTCGGCATTGATTGAAATGGGATTGTGTTTTCTATTTCTCCTCCCCATCTATTCTATTCTTCTCCTCCTTCCCTTCTCCATACTTTCTCCTTCCTTCACTACCATGCTGGATCAATTTTGGTATTCACCAAAGCTAAGAGGCATAATACGGACACACGACACAACATCGATACGAAACGGACATGCCGACATGCTAATTTAAAAAAATGCAGGACACGACACGTAAGGAACACGTATGAAATATATAATTTTATATATTTATTATATGTTATATATATGAATATGTCATTCAAAGATACTAAAAAATACAATATGACACTAATATGATTTTTGTTTTATTATTGTATCTTAAGTTGTTTTGTTCAAACTTATAATTAGTTTCATATGTGTCAAATCGATAGACACTTGTGTTTAAAAAATACACGTGTGTCCTCCAAGTATCCAAAGAGTGTCTGGATCTTTAAAAAATTGGACACGTTTTGAAGTGTGTTGGACATGTGTCGGGGAAGTATCCAAAGAGTGTCAGTGTCCGAATTGGACACGACACGGATATGTCAGCTTTTTAGAAGTGTCCGTACTTCTTATAACATCAAAGCATTACTTTAACCCACCATTTTTGTTCGATTGGCGTGGTTGCCTTATTTTATATGGCTTCATTACTTCAAAATAAACAATAACAAAAATCAGCCCACAGTCCCATCCGCATCTTGTCGTCAATATCACTACAGCATAACTGGAAGCTACTCACCATCTTGGCAACCCATCACTAATGTAGCATCATCGTTGCTACTTTACAAATCACTATGGGCTCTTTTGGGAATCCTAATAAAAAGCCACGTTTTGTGGCCTCACAAAATGCCAAGTTGCGTTTTTGCTCATTTGGGAAGTGGCTAAAAAGCAGGTTGGGAAATTACGTAACTACCCTCCATGTTTACATCTTGAGAGTTAGGGCAAAATGTAAATTTTCTAAGTTGGGTGGAGGTATTTTAGTCATTTTAGTATGATGTGTGTTAAAACCTATCACCTACTTCACCCACTTAAACCTACTCCACTAAACCTAACCCACTACACCACTACCACCTCACCTACTCCACTAAACCTAACCCACTAAATCCACATACTCTCCACCTACTTCACCCACTTAAACCTACCACCACCGCCTACCACGGCTTCGCCGCCTCTCTCGACCCACACCAAGCCGATCTCCTCCGCCACTCCGATTCAGTCCTCGGAGTCTACGAAGACACCGTCTACACCCTCCAATGTGGCTAACGTGAGCCTCCTCGGCTACGCCAGCGGGACGGCGTGTGGGATGGCGACGAGAGCGCGCGTCGCGGCTTACAAAGTATGCTGGATAACCGGCTGCTTCGGCGCCGATATACTCGCCGGAATGGATCGCGCCATAACTGACGGCGTTGATGTGCTGTCCCTTTGTCCATCCACAATAGCTTGTCGCTGCCTAGCAATTCCTAGCCCTGAAAGGTATTTAGACTTTGCCTCTCCCTCAGCTCGCTTGATCTGCAATATTTTCTCTGCTTCAGCCTTCTCATTTGCTGCAACCCTCATTCTAGCAGCTGCATTTATGTCATTCATTGCCCTTTTCACATTAATATCTGGCTCAATATCCACAATAAGAGTCTGGACTATTTCGTACCCATAAGCATACATGTTTTTTTTTTTCAAGTTCTCCCTCCACGGCTTTTGCTATATCATTCTTCTGCTTAAAAGTAGAATCCAAGTCCATCTTTGGTACACTTGCCCTAGTAACATCACAGACGTAGGCTTGGATTTGTCCCTTTGTGTTGGAAAGCTTATAGAAAGCATCAGATGCTTTATCAGACATGGCATGGTACTGAATAGATGCCACCCCACTTTCTCTCTCTCGTTTTTTTCAAACCCTTTTTACTTTTCTTCTTTTATTTCTTTATTTTTTTCTTTTCATCCTTTTTATACCAGCGCACATGCTTTCCTTTACTATATTATTATTATTATTATTATTATTATTATTAACCTTTGGCATAATGCACAAAGTGGTGGTCCCTAGACTTGAAACAAAAAGGCAATACTGTCACATTCTTTTAACATACTTCTCACAATTGATACCAAAAAAAAAAGCTATGCAACTACTCTAGCAAATCCAAAGGAAAAGAAAATGAAAATAAAATATTTCAAGCAACACTAGGGCACTAAGTTTTTTGAGAAGGGGATAATATATATGTATGTATATATAACTACTTGAGTGAATAAAAGCAAATACATAGTAGAGAAGAAAGATTCATATAGTCAATCCCATTTGATGGAACTTAAGGCTTGGTTGGGTTTGGTTTATAAAAACATAATTATAAAAATTTTCAGGCTGTTAAGGAAGTAGTTTATTTTTTTGGTTGGGAGAATTTTCTACTTTCGTTTTTCTTTTCCTGTGGGGAGGACTATTCTAGAACAAGTGCATAACTGATGAATAGAAGCTTTAGATAGAAAGTCAAACCACAAAACTTTTAAATTTTTTATAAGTAAAGCAAAATCACAAAACTCATCAGGCAGTGATCAATGAACTGCAAATGGAAAAAACATATATTGTGAACTTAAATATTACCTATTATCCAAAATTCCTGACATAACTTTTTGAAGGCTTCTATGGTGACTGGACTAGAAGAAATTTTTGCTCTGACTCAACGAGCCAATCAGTAGATTTAGGATGAGTCCATTCAAGCTCCGATAAGGTGCAGCCGTTGTGTAAATTTAAAGTTAGATCCTTGTGCACTAGATATGAACTTTTAAGCAAGATGAATTAAGTTCATAATTTTAATCATCAGATATGTGTTGTATTTAATACAACTCTTCGAAAATGTTATAAAAAGGCTTTAAGTTTCTTACAATTATCATTTTTAGCTTCCAAACATGCTAACCATGATTATGGGTTATACACAAAGCAAACCAATAGCTTCTTTAAACATGAACTTCTCCTAATCATAATAACTATGCTAACTAATCTTGATATCAGACAATTTCATTACTTCCAACCAAGTGAGAAAAAAATTGTAACTGAATGAAACCGGGTGACACGTTTTCCACATCTAAAGAAAACATTCTCACCTCCCATCAGAAAGACAGGCCCTGGTGGTGCATATCGCAGGCCTAAAGATAGAATGACCGCCTCATATATCTAGGGAAGTGATGGGGAACAAGGAATTTGTTGAAAACAATGGAATATAAGAATTTGTTCGTTTAGGAAGTTGAATTTGTTTAGGTTTTTTTAAAGTTTATTTTCCTTATTTTTTTAACAAGTATATGTTATATGTTATATGTTTCCTTATTGGATTTTATTAGTTTGGTTTGCCTATATATATGGCCTTGGCATTGATTGAAATGGGATTGTGTTTTCTATTTCTCCTCCCCATCTATTCTATTCTTCTCCTCCTTCCCTTCTCCATACTTTCTCCTTCCTTCACTACCATGCTGGATCAATTTTGGTATTCACCAAAGCTAAGAGGCATGGATACGGACACACGACACAACACCGATCCGACACGGACATGCCGACATGCTAATTTTAAAAAATGCAGGACACAACACGTAAGGAACACGCATGAAATATATAATTTTATATATTTATTATATATTATATATATGAATATGTCATTCAAAGATACTAAAAAATACAATATGACACTAATTCTTATAAATTTATATGATTTTTGTTTTATTATTATATCTTAAGTTGTTTTGTTCAAACTTATTCATATGTGTCAAATCAATAGGCACTTGTGTTTAAAAAATCCACGTGTGTCCTCCAAGTGTCCAAAGAGTGTCTGGATCTTTAAAAAATAGGACACATTTTGAAGTGTGTCGGACATGTGTCAGGGAAGTATCCAAAGAGTGTCAGTGTCCGACTTGGACACGACACGGATATGTCAGCTTCTTAGAAGTGTCCGTACTTCTTAGCATCAAAACATTGCTTTAACCCACCATTTTTGTTCAATTGGCGTGGTTACCTTATTTTATATGGCTTCATTACTTCAAAATAAACAATAACAAAAATCAGCCCACAGTCCCATCCACATCTTGTCGTCAACATCACTACAGCACAACTGGAAGCTATTCACCATCTCGGCGACCCATCACTAATGTAGCATCATCGTCGCTACTTCACAAATCACTATATAAACGTACCACTGTCATTGATTCTTCTGCATCATAGCTCTGATTGAACCCTAGACATTGCTTTCCGTCCCTTGACCTCCCTTTGTTTTTGTCACTCCCCATCGCCGAAACCTTGCCAATGTTTTTCCGCCCATCAACCATTCATTTTCAACCAGCCTTTCTGATCAAATTTCCGTAGTGTGGTGCCAGAGCCATGCTGCAGGGGAGGTGCTTTTGATGCAGAGTTCTGAAACAAATACGACTGGAGAGGAAAGGAGAAATGGGTTGCACATGAACCTCGACCTGACCCATCAAATTTACCCAGATCTGGACCAACTCAGCCCACACTCTGACTAAATCTACATTAAACTAAACCCACACCACAACCAAGTCAGACCCCAGTCGACGTCCAGTGAACCAAATCAAACCCTAACCCAAAGGTTGTGAACCATACCAGCAACCTAGTCAGTCCAACGCAGTACCAAAAAAACATTCCTTGGAGGACCACAAAAAACTTGAGAGCTCATAATTTTCTTTGAGGATCTAATACACAGTACAGTTAATTCTTTCAAAATGTCTTAACATTTCCACATTGTCTCAACATACCCTTCTCTGGGAAGACCGATGAGATGAGAAAAGGGACAACTTCCAACTTTAAGATCCTTGTACGTTGGTCCTTGAATTTATAAGAAAGCACATAATTTGTCTTCCGACATAGGATAAATGCATCCCATAAGATCCATGTGGAACCATGAACATACTCTTCAGTACACAACATTTAAAGATCAGCTAAAGGTTCATCACTTTCACTCTCAAATAAATTAAGACATGATGCGATTAGCTGCGTAGATGAAGTGGTTTAGTGTTGGTTTTTATCTAAATTAGCTTGACATACCTGACTCAATCACTTTGTATAACAGTGCAGAGAATGAAGAAAAGGTTAAAATAAAGTAGTTTTCCAAAGATATGCAAAGCCTGCACCTCATTAAGATCATATTGGCAAAAGCTCTTTGTCTGATAAGTAAAGATTCAAGAACCACTCGAAATTTAAGAAGTTCTATTCCAATGCTTTAACCATAAAAACCAAGCCAACTGGTGAGTACATGCATCCCAACAATTGTCTCAGCCTAAATACACTAACAAATTTATACACCACCTGATCATGTGCTTTTTTAGATTGCATCATAGTTCCCTACCACAATGCATGAAGAACATTACCTACACTTTTATTTAAAAACTTATTACTCCTATTATTGATTTCAGCAATGTGGAAGCTACAAAAAACACACACTGTTCAGTATGATTGAAAACTACGATGAAAGCAAGAAACATACCTGATTATTACCCCTTGAACCAAGATGAGGTGTAGCAACAGTAATGAAGTTCATAGGCTCCAAACCACCTATGGTACCCTTTGATTCCACTTCACAGGATTTAGATGATAATTCCTCCCCTTTCTCGCTTCTAGGTAGTCTAAACAATTTCCCGATGGCATATCTTGCAACTACTCCTCCAACTGAATGTGCCACAAAGGAGATCTTACGTAGACTTGGTTTTTGTTTAATAGCCTGGAGGACCTGGAGTTCATGCATTCCGTAAATATCAATCTGCATTGTAGATATATCTTGTTTTGGAAAAGTACGAAGATTTAGAACTTAATTTTCAAGTAATCTGGTTGAACTGTAAATTTAATGCAAGCCTAAAGCAAGGAGAAACTAACCTCCCCTGCCAATCGTTCGCCCATTACATCCACACCATCTAATGTCAGCATAGCCATATTTCGTTCACTGCCTGCAAAGCAAGTCAACAAACTTGAGTTTTGACCAAGATGTAAATCATTATATTGATACCTATATTCAGGCTTACACTAGCATAGCACTGATTTTCAGAGTAGAACGCAGTTAAGATGTGCCCTAAAATTCTATTACAAAAGTCATTATGCACCACGCACACAATGGTTTGAATGGACTAATGAACTTATGACTCATGACACCCAACTCTCGCATATCTAGCTCAATAATTGGCCCATTTGTAAGCTCATAACTGCTGTATATGTATGAATAATACACTGTTTTTTGCCCTTTCCTCAACAGCTTAAATCCCATATCAAATAGTTTAGATAACCAATTTTATTGGTAATGATGAAACCCCAAAACAGAGTAAAAAATTTAAATCTACTTCACAAAGACAAAAAAGACAACTTTCTAAAGCTTTAAGCTCCATTATTTGAGGTATAAAAAAGAAAATAGGGAAAAATAAAATAAAGATAAAATAAAGAAGAAGAAGAAGAAGAAGAAGAAGAACTACATAGAGAGACCTCTTGTTATCACTTTCATATACTAAATACTAATACAATCTTTTTTAAAGGGAGGGGGCCAGGTAGTCGGATGACAGTAAATTAAACAGCTATTCTAGAAAGCACAGTAGTTTACAGTTTTTCTCTTTTTTCATGAGAAACAGTTTTACAGTTTAGAACAGTGTAGGCACTCTCTTCAAAACTAGATTTCAAAAACAAAAAATGAATAACAATTATCAGTTTTTTTACAGCCAACAAATAACTAATTTTACCCCTAATTCAGTAGGATCACCATTGACAACAAGCCGCAAATAAATTTATTAATCTAATTAATGCCGACAATACTTCGTCATCATGGAGGTCAAACAACAAAACCTATTATTGGCTACTGTTAGATGGCTTTTTTCACATTCTTAGATAGCTCACCCCATGCATTAATGAGAAAATTATAAAAAACTTAGAACAATATAGAGATTGAAAAACATAAGAGTATTTTTTTTATAAATGAAGAATGCATGGATTACAATATTAGGAAACTGTTATAGGACAAAGAACAAACTTAACCATCATCCGAAAGCAAGTTAAAATTGGGAAAAAAAAAAAGTTCAAAAGCAAGAGAAATTGTTTAAAGAATCATCCTCACAATGAACAAATACTTTATCAGGGAGCGTTCTAACAAACTGCTCAGCAGCAAACTTCCAATCCGTAGCACTGCAAAAGTAAATCAGCACAGCATAAACATACTACAAATGATAAATTTTCAAACAGAAATGATAAAAGTAAATCTACACAGCAAGAAGCATTCCAGTCCACAAAAACATCATGTACATTTGTTCGGATGGAAGACAATTCCCATAAACTTTTTAAGAACAACCATTTTCGACATCAAGCTAAATCATTAGGAACAGTACATGCCTTTTAATTTTAGCTTTCAGTCAGGCTTAAAAAGTGACATTGAAAGAAAGAAAAGCATATATATATATATGTGTGTGTGTGTGTGTGTGTGTATATAAGATTGTCAAGAAAAAAGAAACAACAAAACTTTCAACGAATATGTTGGGGCATGTTTGGAAGTTAATTCTTGCATTTGTGACTTGAGTATGTAACCATCACAGCAAAGCAAGGATCCTCTAAAGTGATTTTTCTTAAAGTGATTTTTTGAATGGCTGAGATTTAATAGTACAAAAAGTGAAGGTACAATAATAAAAAATTGAGGGTATAATAACCATACAAAAAATACTCTAGGATCACTTTAGGAAAAATCAATCTAGAGGACTGTTGCTCATCACAGCAACATTACACAATTGTGAATCCAGCCATTGATGAAAAAGGATGGTAGGATCACTTTAGGAAAAATCAATCTAGAGGACCCTTGCTCATCACAGAAACATTACACAACTGTGAATCCAGCCATTGATGAAAAAGGACGGTACCACAGTTGACTAAGGTAAATAAAGAAAACATGAGAAGTTTCACTCGACAAAAAGTGGGTAAGAAAACAATGAATTGGAATAAGAAAGAAAAAGTGCACTTGTTTTTCTTCATTATCACACAATACATTCAAAACACATCCTTATGCTCTGTTTGGATAGCGGGACGAGAAAAGAAAACAATGATTGTGTTATCATATACAGATGAGTCAGAAAGCAAAGTATGTGATACAGGGATATGGATGTGATTTCTTTTTCTTCCTTTGGATTTTAATGGGCAATCCCAATACTATGAAAAATACATAACCAATCAGCTTATTTCCCACCACTTCTCACCACTTTTGGTGAGAAATGAAACCAATAAAATAAGAGAGTTCTCTTCCTCACCATTTTTACCTAATTTAAAAACACCCAATTGCACACTATCTGCAATATCAAGAGATGAGGGTAAAAAAAAAAATAAAGCTGAATTATTATGAATCTCATCTACTAATCACTGAAAATGGAAATTGCCCTCTAAATTAAGTATTAGTAAAGAAGCAAATGTACTGAGAAGAACAAATTTTATATTTTTTAACCTACATCCGAGGAATTCAAAGAAAAAGGCTTCAATATCCAGAATTTACAATCTGAACTCTGAATCACCAAGTTTAAGAAATTAATTGCTGATTACAAAACAAGTAAACATAAAGAATAATAATAATAGTACATAAACAATTATCAGATCCAGAATTAAATCAAAAGAATTCAGAATGAAAAACCAAAGACCTTCCGAGAATTCCATGAACCATGACGACAAGGTGATCAGCGGAAGAAGCAAGAGATTGGTTACAACTCCAAACATCTTGTGCTCCATTGATCGATTCCGACGAGCACACACCATTCTCTGATGTACCGTTTTCCATTACTCTCTCTTTCTCTCTCAGTTATGCATTGGCAAAGCGATAATCAAAAACTTCGATAGAGAATTTCACAGTCGATCGATCTTCGAGTTGTTGAAAATAATCGAGAAAAAAGCGTCCAACACGGAGAGAGAGAGAGAGAGGTGTGTCAATGGGTAGGGCATACCCGCACGACAGACAGACACTCCGGTATGATTGATCAGATCAGAGGCTGTTTTGAAGTGGAAAATGATAACTTTACTCTCAAATTTTACTTCCAATTTAGATTCTATCATTCTCTCAATTAGGGAAATTCTACTGTAATTTTTTTATTTAATTGTGATTGATTTTTTTATGAGATTCTTAATTATGTTTTTTTTATGAGATTCTTAATTATGTTTAATGTGATATTTAAATTTTTTTTTTTTTTAGTTATACTTAAAAATATGCAGTTATTTCAATTTTTCTCTTTAATTATAAGATGTATTATGTTTTTCAATGATTCAATTTCAAAGATTTATTTGTACTTGAGTCTATTTTCTAGTTCGACTTTTGGTCATTCAAATTATTTATTTATTTATTAGACATATGCATGTAAAAAATTTTAAAAGTTAAACATTATTAACTATATATTTCAGTCATATTTGTTTTTTTAAAAAAATTATAACAATTATAATTTTAAAAATATTTTTAATTTTTAATAAAAATATCATTTAAACATATAATTATTTTGATAATCTTAATTTTTTTTATATAAATATTCTACCCAATGAAATAATGGCCTCCATAAATTTAATTTTAAATTTCCTACATTCAAAACTCCATGCTCTCCATGCTCTAAATTACTTTCATAAAGACATTTTTAAACCCGTAAGGGCAGTCTCGTACAAAATGACTATCTGTTCAATCCCAACAGACTCCCACACGTGCCTAGAGCTTTAGCGTGAGCTCTTCGTTGAGACCGTCTTGCTGAAAAGAGGCCTTGTGATTTTGAGGATAACAACAGTGTTAATGTTTGGAAGGAGCTGGTGTATTTTACAAGTAGAAGTTATGATTTCAACAAATACAACCTCTCTCTCTCTCTCTCTCTCTCTCTCTCTCTCTTTCTCTGTGTATGAGAATTTGAATAGATAGAATAAAAAATTGAACAAATAGAAAAAAACAAGCTTGTTAAATTTCAATAGATAAGAAAAAATAGGTTCTAAGAATTTCAGCAAATAGGAAAAATAACCTTGGTGAATTTCAATAGGAAAAAATAGGTTTCATGAATTTCAACATGTAGGAAAAAACATGCTAATGGTTAATGAACTAAAAACTAGGAGTTATGATTTTTCGATACCTTGTAAACTCAATTAATGTTCTAAGCTATGAGTGTTGATTGGGGGTCGTACTACTATGACCTACATCTGCTTTTCTGCTATATGATAGAATAATAAACTCCATCATCAAGGTAGTGACCTTAAGCAAATAGATGGGTGTTATGCAATAAGTACATGCACTGAATATGATTGATTTTGAGAACACCTATGGAATGATCACTATTAGTTTAAAAGGTAGTTCTATTACAATACACTTATTTTCCTTTGACCTGAGAGGCTTGTATAAATTAATTAACTATTCATTTAATTTTGACATTGTCAATCGGTGACACCGAATCAAAGGCTATACACGGACATGTTGGGTTATGTGAGTGGTAATTAATTTATATAGGTGCTTAACATGGAATCCACCATTCTCAAAGTGAGAAAGTATATTCAAGCAATTTTTCCTATTAACGTCGAACCAAAAGAAAACTGGCCGGTAACTTTTTCATAAAAATATTTTTATACATATATAATTACAAAAGTACTATTTTTGAAAAATGCTTTTGGGATCCAATTACAAGAAGGAAAAATTTAGAATTCAATTACATGAGTTAGGGCTTTTGATACTAATAAATTTTTCCATACCTAATAGCTCATGTGGAATATAGTTTGGTGGAAGGAAGTTTGTGACTAATTGTAAGAAAGTGCCTCACTTGCAATTCTCTACTTTTAGGGGTTTAATTGTAATGTGTTGATAGACATTATTGCAATTAGTGGAAGTTCTATATTATCTGTTTAAAAGATAATTAATGAAAAATTGGATAAGTTGTATCCTGTATAGTCCTAGAAAATTCAAGCCTAAGGGCAAGAACAATTTTAATAAGAAACCTATGGGCTCCAAATTCACTGGAAAAACACTAGGTGTTTTTAAAAAGGGCATAGATAAGAAGAAAAGCAAAGGAAATTGTTTCCATTGCGGAAAGCCTGGCCATTGGAAGAGAAACTGCCGTCAGTATTTGGCAACACTGAAAAAGGACAAACCTTCAGAAGGTATATTGAATCTGTTTGTTATTGAAACCAATTTACTGATTGGTCCTCCTAAAGCTTGGTGTGTAGACTCTGGTGCGACCTCACATATTTGCAATATGTTGCAGGGGTTCAAGGAGACCAGAAAGCTTAATAAAGGGGAGATGCTAATAAAGTTGGGAACAAGTGCAATAGTTGCTGCAGTTTCCATAGGAATTTTTTATTTGGAATTATCATTTAATAGAACTCTAGTTTTAGAAGATTGTCTATTTGTGCCAGACATCCGTAGAAATTTAATTTCTGTTTCAAAGTTAATTTCGTTGGGATATTGTTTTTCCTTTTCTTCAAAAGTTGTTATTAAGCACAATAATAAATTTGTGATTTCTGGCATTTTAATAGATGGTCTTTACTTTATTAGTCCTATTGATAATTCCATTAATTGTATTGAGAATCATATATCCATTGGTATGTTACCCCTTAAAAGAAAAATGGATGTTAATCATACTTACATGTGGCACTTGAAACTTGGTCATATCAATTTAGAACGTCTAAATAGATTGGTCAAGGATGGGCCTTTAGATTTTTTGAAAATTGAGCCTTATCCAATTTGTGAGCCCTGCTTGCAAGGAAAAATGTCTAAAATTCCATTTTTGGGAAAAGGAA